TATCTTAACTTATTAGAATCTACTCAGATACACAGACATCATCATAACTGATGTCTAGTGAGATATAGAAATATTATTCCTATATTGCTCTATTCTCCTTCCCTCTTTTTGTTCTGTTATTATATGTATCATACTAATATTTCAAGCCTAACGAGACTTGTTATAATTATAGCTTTATATGTAATTTTAAGTCTTTTAAAAAATCTGAGAAGAAAGGAGAGAAATTACATATTGATGTTAATCCTATTTACCATTTTTGGGTGTATTTATTTATTACTGTAGATTGTTGTGGGTTTGTCACCATCTGGTGACATTTTCTTATTCTAATACAGTTCCCCGCCCTTGCAACTTTGTGCTATTATTGGCAATTAGATCACATTTCTATATTTTATAAGACCAAGAGTACAATTATATACATGTTATTTTATGCAATTGCTTTTAAATTCAGTGATAGGAAGAACGAAGAAATAGGCATTTTTACTATTATAATTACATAATTATCTTTGCCTGTACTTTTTCGTGGATTTGAATTACTGTGTATGATCATTTGCTTTCAGCCTGAAATACTTATTTTGATATTTTGGGAAAGTTGTATCTAGTATCAAGAAAGTCAGTGTTTGGTTATGTGGAAATGTGCTTTGCCTTCACTTTTTGAAAGATAATTTTGCTGGAAAAAGGATTCTTGGTTGACTGGTTTTTTGAGCATTTTGAATGTGTTACCCTTTGTCATTTCTGATGATGAATCCACTCTTAATCTTACTGAAGGTTTCTTATAAGTGGTACGTTTTCTCTTGCTGCTTTCAAGATTTTATTAAACATACACTGGTGTGTTTACTGGTCCTACAGCTCTCTGAGGTTCTGCCATTTTTCCTCATTCTTGACCCCCCCCCCCACTTTCTTCAGGTTGCGCAATCTCAATCAGTCGGTTTTCTTGTTCTCTAATTTTTCTGCCAGTTCAGATCCACTGTTGATCTCTCTAGTGAATTTTTCATTTCAGTTCCTGTATTTTTCAACTTCAGAATTTCCATTTGGCTTTTCAAAGAATTTCAGTCACTTTACCAATATTGTCCACTTGATGAGACATTGTGATTATTCCTCTCTTTACTTTTCTTATTTAAGCCCGTTTCCTTTATTTTTTTTCCCCAACATATCTGTATGGACTACTTCGAAGTCTTTGTAAAATCTAACATTTGCTTGCTTGTTCTCACAGCCATTGTCTGTCACCTCCTTTTTTGTGTATGGGTCAATTTTTTTGTTTCTTTGAATGTCTCATGATTTTGTTTTTGAAAGCCCAACCTTTTATATAGTATAATATAGCAGCTTTGAGTCCTGGTCCCCCCCCTTACCCCCCACCCCATCTGTTATTGTTTGCTTGGGTGTTTGCTTAGTCTAAGTTTGCCTGGAGTATTTTAGTGAGGTTTCTTTCCCTCTGCACCCTGAAGCCCCAGGTGTTGCTTCCTAGAGGGTGCAGCTTTGGACAGTGCACAATCACACTGGGATGACAGTGGTTTCCCAGGACCCTCTTTGTCTCTTTCCTTTATCACACCTCTCTGTTAATTACTAATAGATTGTTTTCAGCACTGCCCTGGTACTTAAAATAGCTCCACAGACAGATCTAGTCAAAGCCCACCCAGTTTATTTGCAGAGGTGGTATTTGAAGTTAACTTTTAGGCTTAATCTGACCTCAGGAGGGTTCTTAGCTTTCTGTTTTTGTGTTCTTTCTGTAGCAAACTAGCTGGGCCGTGATTTAGCTAATGTATCTAATGAACCTGCCAGTCTCTTACTTGCTTTCCGGGAGAAGACCCACTGTTTCTGAGAGCATCCTTATCAACTATTTCACTGCTCTGTGTTAGTTTCTTTGGGGAGATTTTCTGAGTTCTCTGTTTTACAGCCTGTCTGTCTCCCTGCACAGGGTGAAGGGTGGAGGTTTGGGACCCCGGTACTCTCAGTATCCCAAGGTGAAACCGTGAATGGGAGCTGTGCAGAGGAAGGAAGACCCCCGCCCCAAGCCTCACAGCCATACTTGCTGCTGCTTAGCATTGGCATCAAGTAGCTGAGGGGCTGGGGGAATGAGAAACGCTGAAATCCTGCTTTTCCCCGGAAGCTGCTGCAGCCTCGAGCAGGGCACCGGGAGGAGGAAGCCCTGTGTTCCTGGCTACCCCTACCTGGCATGCAGTTTCTGTCACTTGGCTAACAGAGAAAGGGACGGATTGGATCATGGTTTAAATGCCACAGGTCCTTGCTCTTTTTACTGAGTTATAGTAGATTTTCTTGAATAAATGTCTCTTTATTTGTTGCATAGCCTTAGAGTCATTTCCATTTTTCTACAAATCACTATCACCAGTTTTGCCAGGGAGCAGCTTCGTGCAGCTCTGCACGTTGCCATTCTGGAAGTAGAGCTCTGCTTCGGTTTTTTTAGATGTGGTTTCCTTTAGCTCTTTGAAGATATTTAAATATCTGATTTAATGTCTTTGTCTAGTAATTCTAACATGTGGCAAGTAAAGCCTGGGCTTTGTCAAACGTGGTTTCTGTTGACCACTTTCCATTCCTTTGTGTGGACCACTCTTTCCTGCTTCGTTTTACAAACCTCAGAATTATTTGTTGAAAACTAGACTTACTACACGATGCAATGTGGCAGCTCTAGAAGTCAGATTTTCTCCCCATCTGGCTGGCATTCATCCCCATCATTATTCTTTATTGTTGTTGTTGCCGTGTATTTGCTCAGTACTTTCCTGAACAAATTCTGTGGTTTGTCAGCTTTATCACATGTGCTTAGTTAACCTTGGCGGTCAGCGGGTGCTACGCAGAGGTTTCCCTGTGATTGGAGGTGGCAGGTCCTCCGGCCCTTGCCCATGGGCCACATGTGGGTGGTGGGACACGTGTCAGTGCTTGGGTGGGCAGCGTACAGCTCTGCAGCCTCTTGACTTCATGTTTGAGCAAAGCTTCAAGGCCGACCTGCATTTCCTAGGGCAGCATCGGGGCTACTCAGATTAGCCATATCTTCTTTAGTGAGCTCTGGGATTTTGTGTCTCTCAAGAAATGTTTTTCCCATTCGACTCAAGTTGTTCAATTTCTGGGCATAAAGTTATTGACGTTTTCCCCTATGATTCCTCTAATATGTATATAATTTGTATTGCTGTCACTTTTCTTCCTGTTGATAATGTCAAGTTGGGTTTTCTTTTTATCCAGATTTACTGATTAGTTTAGCTAGAAGTTTATCAGTTTTATTGATCTTCTTGAAGAATGCGCTTGTGTTTTTTGGTGATTCTCATTTTTCTGAGTTTTGTTTACTTGATTTCTCCTTTTTAAAAAAATTTTTAATATTTATTTTTGAGAGAGACAGAGCATGAGCAGGGGAGGGGCAGAGAGAGAGGGAGACACAGAATCTGAAACAGGCTCCAGGCTCTGAGCTGTCAGCACAGAGCCTGACATGGGGCTCGAATCCACGAACTGTGAGATCATGACCTGAGCCTAAGTCAGACGCTTAACCGACTGAGCCCCCAGGCGCCCCTTGATTTCTCCTTTTGATCTTTATTTATTTTCCTTTCTTTTGCTTAATTTGGCTTTAAATTTGCCTCCCTTTTCCTCCCATTTGCAGGTCGAAGGTGAAGTGTCCTATCCTTCTTCCCTAATCAGTGCTATAAATGTGCTCCTAAGTACTGCTTTCTGGCAGCCCACAAACCCTACATTGTATTTTTGTAGCAGGATTCTCACACAGAGAGTCGTGACACTGAGGGTTCTAATTTCCAGGAAGCAGCTTTTATTCATGTCGGCACCGCTCACTTGGGTTTGTATTCAAAGATCTGAGCCCCAAACGTCCCGTGGCATAGTTTTTTAAAATACATTTTCTACTTCTTTGTCTCCCATACATGGTAACACACATAAACTTGCCATCTGATGAAGTAGACTCTGTTTGCAAGGTCATGAGGGATGTGGTCAGGTAGATACATAGCCAGGTTACCTTGAAGTTTTCTCTCCTTTTTTTTTCTCTCTCCTTAGGGAGGGCACCCTCTCACATTTTTGTTTTGATACAACTCGAAATTAATTCTAATTTCCCTTTTTGTTTTTACTTTTCCTTTGAAACATGACTTATTTAGAAATTTGGTATTGAGTTTCTAAATATTTTGGAATTTTTCTAGAGAATTTTCTGTTATTTACCTTTGACTTAATTCTCTTGTGGTCAGAGGATGTATTTTGTGTGACTTGAAGCTTTCTGAATATTGAAACTTGTTTTATGGATGAGAGTATGGTATTCCTTGGTAAAGGTTGTATGTGCACTTGAAAAGAATGTGCATCCTGCGATTTCTGGGTGAGGTGATCCGTCAGTCCAGGCTAGCGACACAGTAGCATTGTGCAGATCACCTCTGTCCTTACTCATGTTCTGTCTAGTTGTACATCATTCACTGAGGATGGGGTATTGGGATCTCTAAGGATAATTTTAACTTTTTTATTGTCCTCAAAGCCTGGCCGCCTGCTTCGGTGCTCTGTTGAATCCCCTGAAGTAGGGATTATGTCTCCTAATTCCTTTGATCCCAGCTCATAGTAGTGACTATTTTTAGTAAAAAATGATGTTGTCAACTTGGGAACTATTTGTTGTATGTACTTGCTGAATTTAGTTGTGTATTTGAAGATTATATTAAGATGAGATGCCTTTTCAGTGAAAACACACAAACATTTTCTTTTTATTTGATGTATTTTACATGGAATACCATTATAATATAAAAATTAATATAAAATGACTCTTCAGTTTAGCTGTGAATTTAAAGTTTCTTTCAGTCAAAATGCCAGGGAGCTTTACTTCTGACTAGGCATATTCAATAGACTTTCAGTACAGATTATGCTAGAAAAAAAGTCTTTAAAAATTTGAAATAAATTCCTATTTGTCACCCAATATGTATCATTCTGGTAATCTTGGACATTAAATGTTTAGTTTTTTTTCTCCCCCTACTATAGCTTGTATATCATTTGGGTTACTTACATGATTTTTTTTTCCCTCCTAGAGCCACAAACATTCTATGTGTATACGGCCGTTTCTGCCTTATTTCAATGTGTCACACCAGTTTGCTACCTTCCTTCTTAAGGGCTCTTTTGTAAGTAAATATGTGAGACTTTTATTTTGGTTTTGATTTGAGAACTTATATATTTTATCACAGGCTAGGGCTTCTTAAGTGAAGTCTTTTGTATGTTACCAGCTGTTAAGCATTTGTCTAAAGGTGGGTAAATGCAGTGGTGTTTTCTGTCTCCTCACTGGTTTTAGTCAAACAGTGTGGAAGCCATGAGGAGACAGAACTCCGTGGCTAAACTCTGTGGCTATAACCCTCCATGGCTTTGAAGAACACTTACCACAAGTCACTTGCAACAAAGTTTTTCTTGTTGGTAGAAGCATCAATTATGTAGTCTCGGGAGCTTTCAAACTTTGATTTTTACAGTATTCTGTACAAAGAAACAACAACGTAAAAAGACACCAGATTCTTGTTATTTCTACCTATTGTTAGATTTGAATACAGGAAATACAATGCCTTTTCTGACCTAATTACATAAGAATTGTTCTATCAATACCAGAAAATTCCTAAAACACATTTTACACAGGTACAATAGTGAGTTTTTTTGAAGCAAGGCACTAAATTCTTTTTTAACATTTGCCAAAAGTCTGTAGTATGTATAGGACATAAAGTATTTGCTTGAGCAATTTCTTCCTACTTTCAGAATGTTGCCATTGAAGACTTGAGGTGGGTCTTTTGGCAAATAGCAATAGAGGTCATATTATCAGTGGTTCATTCTTGCTGGTACTTATTCATTTTGGAAATCCTCAGAGGATATGATGAACCCCTCAACTTTGCTTTTTTGTGTGTGTTTTCTCCTCAGAGTGAAATACCAGAGCTACAGGTGTGGTATACCAGACTTGGAAAACCATCTAAGAGATTTCTTTTTAAACAACTGGATTCTCTATGGGTAGTTTTCAAATAAATTCCTATATTTTAAGGATTGCAAACAGTTAAAGAGAACAGACATTTGATTAATGAATTAAGAATTTTAAATTTTACAACTGATTTTGTGGCTTAAGTATAATAGACCTAAAGTTTCCAGTGGGTTTTTTGTTTGTTCATTTGTTTGGTCGGTTGGTTTTGTTTTAGTAGAAATCCTCCTCAAGGCATAATAGGAGTGTGTGTTTATAGGTGTGTTTGCTCTTAGTATTTAGTTTGCTATTGTGAACGGTACCACCATCCTTTGGGTGCCCACGTCAGAAAATTGAATCTTATCTGGGACTGCCCCTTTCTTTATGTACCATTACTGATCAAGTATAGAGCATTCTGTCACTGACATGTTTTTCTTACACATTCCATTTTCCTCTGTTCCCACTGGCTACTGCTTATTTCAGTTCTTTATTACCTCTCTCTTGGATTTTGGAAACTACCTTCTGTTTTTCCAGCCTCCAGTCTGACTCTTTCCAGGCCACCCATCACACTGCTACCAGAATCCAGATCTGGTTTTTGTCAATCCATTGCGTAAATCCTTCAGTGATTTTTCCTGTGAGTTGACCTCCTTAGCGTAGCACAGGACTCTTGTTACCTCATGGGGTTAAAGACTGCTTTCCTTTCTCTGCGCGTGTTCTGCTAACATGGCCTGTACTCACACACTAAACTTCTTGAAGTTTCCAGAGCGTGGCATGTCACTTTACTCACCTCTGTGACTTTGCACATGCTTTTTCTTCCTTCAGAATGCAGCTGAAGTGCCACTTCCCCTGAACCTTTCCCCACCAGCTTTAGCTCACGGCCACCTAGGCACAGTGATTACTAGTTAAACACTTTCCCCACCACACTGGGCCCATGGAGGATTGGAGACCTGCCTTATTTAGCTTTTTATCTCAGGTCCCTGCTATTGTGCTTAGCATATGGGACTTCCTCTGGAAATGTTTCAAAGAATGAATTGGTCCAAGTAAGCATGCTACTTCACCTAACTGACACAAATCTACTTTTCCTGGAAATTATTAATGTTCTGTGAATCAGCTAGTCACCATCAGTGACTGAACCCCTGTCACATATTAAATGCTAAGAAAAGAACAGTCTGCTGAATAAATTGCTAGAAGTAGGATATTAAAATTGATTTTCCCCAGAATAAAATAATATTTGGGGGTATACCTGAACCCAGAATATGGTGGTACATTTCATAGATCTTACCAACAATTTATTATTAAGGCAAAGATATGCTATAAACCCCTTTAATTCAAAGTAGGAAAAAAAGCTCAAATTTCATAAAATGGGCATACATTTAATGCCTGTATTAACTATGCAGAGGATTCTAGTGTCCTCAGAGGTCTACATTTAGCACAGAACAGCTGTGATACAGGGAGTGTTTCTTGAAGGTCATGCTTGGAGCTAAGCACCTTATAAACATTATCTTGTTTAATCCTCATAACTGCCCCAGGAGGTATGTGTTTTTCCCCCTCATTTTGTGGAGATGTGGCTTAAAGAGATTAAGTTGCCAAAAGCATAAATGTGACATAAACCTAGCTTGCTAATTGAAATGTATATTGAACATGAAAGAAGTAGGACTTTTTTCCCTTAATAGCAAAAGGTTTTTTGTGTTTAATAGCTGAGTCAATGGTGAGGTTTTATGGACTTTTCCACCTTAGTAAAGTCCTAAACAGTAATAGGCAGATCTCTTATTTATGTGTATTGAACATACACAAGTTTTGAGAGCTTATAATCTGATGGAAAAGAACAGACTAATAGAAATAGAGTTTGGTGTTGTCTAGTCTTCCTTCCCTCCATGTAGTGAAATTCTTTTAAAGTCCTAGCTACAAAGTATAATTTTATTTTTATTTTTAGTAAATTTTTTTAAGGTTTGTTTATTTTTGAAAGACAGAGAGAGATAGTGTGAGCAAGGGAGGGGCAGAGATAGAGAAGGAGACACAAAATCTGAAGATTCCAGGCACGACACAGGGCTTGAACTCAAGAACCGTGAGATCATGACCTGAGTCTAAGTCAGACACTTAACCGACTAAGCCACCCAGGTGCCCCAACAAAGTATAATTTTATAAAGCCTTGTAAATAACTTAAGAAAAAGATCCCAAAGGCCTTGATAAAGGGTGTATCCTTCACAAGGGTTATGAAGTTGTAATAGAAGTGAGTTTGGCTCTGGGAGTGCCTAGGTGGCTCAGTCGGTTGAGTGTCTGACTTCCGCCCAGGTCATGATCTCACAGTCCGTGGGTTTGAGCCCCGTGTCAGGCTCTGTGCTGACAGCTCAGAGCCTGGAGCCTGCTTGGGATTCTGTGTCTCCCTCTCTCTCTGCCCCTCCCCTGCTTGCTCTCTATCTCTCCAAAATAAATAAATGTTAAAAAAAATTAAATGAAAAAAAAAGAAGCGAGTTTGGCTCTTCTTTAAGTTTTCTTTTTCTTTCTTTCTTTTTTTTTTTTTTCAAAATTATTTGGCCCAAATGAGAGGAGCCAAAAGCAGCTGGCCTTGACTTCCACGTTTTCTTTTCTCAGCTTCTCGACAGTGGTGGTGCTTTCACGCTGGAGCTGCAGGAAGACGAGCTCTTCACACTCACCACTCTCACCACCGGCGGCAAGGGCAGCTACCCGCAGCCTCCAGAGTCCCAGCCATTCCCACAAGTGTATACAGATGACTTCGATGTTGGTGAGGTTTTTGTTTTTTTGTTTTTTTGTTTTCTTTTTAACTAAAACTTAACCTAGTTTCCATTTCTAGCAGTAGCAGGTAGATTTCTACGTGTCAAGCTCGTATGTGATAAAGTGGCTGTAAAATATAGCTCTAAATGTCCATCTGGTAACTGAGATCTTTTTGTGTTACCTCAGGGTGACTCTCAACTTGAGGACCCTGTAGTTCTCAGTGCCAGAAAAACTGTAGAGGTCAATATCAGAATGAAAGCTAGAATCCTAACTAGGTTTTTGTGAAGCTTAAGGTTTGTTTCCTGCCACTCTCCTGTTATCTGTACCTCACGGAAGCCATTCCTGACACCCTCCTATAGCCTGAAGGTGTAGCCGTGCTCCCCTTGGCTATTTTTCCTCATCATCTGCCTGGGGGTTTTATACTTGCACTCTCCTGCTTTTCTAGGAAGAGCTGACCTAAAGCTGTTGGAAAAGCTTTTGATTTTTAGGTAATTTAGGAAAACTGCTAGCCAAGTTAGAAGGCACAGTCATCGTGGTGATAGTCTGAGATCACTCAGTAGGTGACGGAACTTGTTGATGAGTAGACGCACGGCTTGTGGGCCTCGCAGACAGGGTCGGCTGGCTCTCGCATTTGCTCCGAAGACCCGTAGCCGTAGGAGAGACAGAGGCAGGGAGACTGCCATTGTGAGAGAGTGACCTGCACCCCTTGTTGCTGCAGGGCTGCTGTTTCCAGCATGGCTGCTTGGAGACTCCTAGTTCCCCCTCCCGGTCCCGGTCATGTCATGGTCCTGGTCACTCCCGGCCGCACAGTCTCCTCTCTCCGTCCCAGGAAGTGATGTCCTGGTTAATTGCAGGACAAGGCCCTTTGTACTGTGTACTGGGTTCCTCTCAGTTACTTTCAAGACACAGACAACAGCGACTTCAGGGCTGCTTGGTGCCTCGTTCTCTTGCAGTTCTCTGAAGTGGCCTCTTAGATGAGTCCGTGAATCATGCCACCTGTTGCTGTCCTTTGCTCACTTCTGTGTTGGCAGAGGTACCTCTGCCCTCAGTAGACAAGGAGTCTGGGATATGGCCCAGTTAACCAGAGTGAAGCTCCCTGGCACCAAAAGTGTTCTGTGACCCGAAGACTGAAAGGCGATCCAAACCGTCAAATCTAAAACGTAATGCCCTTTGGACTACAAAGTAAACTGAGAGCTAAAGTTAAAAACTGTACGTCAGGCTGTAGCAGTCCTTTATACGGCTCTCAATTTCTCAAATGATGAATATGGGAACGCTTAGAAAAGCATGAAGTGTGAAATAGCTATAAGATTGTGACCAGAATTGCGCTTCTATAGCCTTCATCATTGTATGACTATAATTTAATAAAACTAGGAACAGATTGATAGCTTAGGCCTAACTGGTTTTACTCCGTTTGAGAAATAGAAGACAGTTGGTAATTTGTAAATTCTTTCATTTAATTCTCTTGTCCTCATGCCCTCTTAGAAATGAGGGGACTTGAGCGGCTCCTGGGTGGCTTATTCGGTCAAACATCTGACTCTTGATTTGGCTCAGGTCATGATCCCAGGGTCGTGGGATCAAGCCCCTCATTGGGCTCTGCACTGAGTGTGGAGCCTGCTTAGGATTCTCTCTCTCCCTCTCTTCCGCTTGTGTGCACGTTCTCTCTCTCTCAAATTTAAAAAAAAAAAAAAAAGAAAAGAAAAAGAAATCAATCTCTATTAACCAAACCCTAAACTTCCACTTGTTATAAGTATCATTTACTAATTTAGGACTTCTAAAAAGTGTTTTTAAAATGTGCAATACAATATCTGAGAGGAGAAATTCTGTAGACTTTATACTAAACAGAGAATTTATTGTGTTCTGAACAGATTACCCATTTTTTAGTGAAGCTCCGAATTTTGCTGATCAGACCGGTGTCTTTGAGTACTTTACAAATATTGAAGACCCTGGAGAGCACCGCTTCACACTGCGCCAAGTTCTCAACCAGCGGCCCATTACTTGGGCTGCTGATGCTTACAACACGATCAGTATTATAGGAGATTACAAATGGTATGTAAAATGGGTGTCCGTCTGTAGACCTGGCTGAAATAACCTCGTAATGTTGTCAGATACGTTCTGAAGTGAAGACTTCTCAACGATCTTCTTTGTACAGGAATCTAATGAGTGTGTGGTAATTGTTGACTATCATGGCCACAAGCCATGGTTGTGATGCCGCAGCGCCCTTCCCTCAGATGTGCTCAATTAATAGTGATTGTTGCAGAAACAAAGTGATTTTAGTGGAACTGTTGAGGACTTTTGGACCCAGTTATAATTGATTCATTTATAAACAGACTGATCTGTGGGTTGTTTGTGGGTTTGCTGGAGAGTCCCTTTGTTGATCTGGTGTTGCCACCTGCTGGATCCATTCTAGACTTACACCGCGTTAGCCTTTGTGGAAATCTATTTACCGGGTGACGGTAGATGGCGATAGTGAGAAGCAAATTAGCTTTTGCTGTTAATCCTTCCTCCTCACCCGCCTGCCTGTGAGTACTACAGAGGAGTGGCTGTCTCTGAACCCAAACTCTTATTTCTGGCTGGGACTCTAGAAAAATCCAGACTCATTAATTATAGTAAAGAGATGAGATCTTGCACCTTCCAAACAGTAACCAAAAGTAGTCATAACTTTGAAGATTTCTTGTATTTAAATGGCAGTACTCATCTTTACTGCCGCAGTGGGTAAGGCGGTGGGGAGGGGAGGGGAAGAAGTGGGGAGAGAGGGAAAGAGCCACATAGTCTGAGAGAGAAAGACCAGGAAAGAGCAGTGATGCCTGTTGAGAAGGGCCCGTTTTCATCGTTCATAGCTCTGCTTTCGTGGTGCGATCGCCTGCTCAGGAGCACGCGGCAGCTCTCTTCAGCTGCTGAATCAGATCTCCTCTTCTGCACCTCACTTCCAAGACCCTTTCAAATATGGGCTCCTCCTATTTATTTTGTGCTCTTTCCCAGTATTTCCTCCTGGATTCGAGGTAGCCAGGTCTGTTCAGAGATTCCCCACAAGTCCCACGCTCATTTCTGTTTTCTGGCTGCAATGCCCCCTTACCGCAGGGTAAGGAGGGAATGAAAACCGGGTCCTACGACACACTGGCATGGGCTTCCCACAGGTACCTGTGGCAGAGCTGTCATCCTCGCTACCTTACAGGTCAGGAAACCAAGACTTCCGGGTAAGATGTGCTTGAGATCCCATACTTGTAAGTTCTAGAACTAGGGAGAGGCCAGGACTGTCTGGTGCCGTAGCTCATCTCTCTGGACTACACCTCAGAGCCTCATTTTAATCTTTGTCTTCTTGCTAAGAGGCGCAGGGGGCCTATAGTCCTGCTTTAGTAACTCGGCTCTCAGTATATGCGCCGCCATCAGTGCTTCTCTCATATTTAGGATTAGTTAAGTCCCAGCACAGTTATTTGACTCGGGAGGGTAGACCTTCCCGAAGCTACCCAAGACTTTCATCTTGTTAGGAAGCTTTGGTTGGGATCTGAGGACAGTCCATAAAATTGCCTTTCACTGCACACACCCCGGCTCTGCATCCCTCTGCTTAAATTTGCTTAATGCACCGGCTGGTTTTTGTGCCCTCAGCATGACCACGAGGTTATGGCTGTGGAAGACTGGGCCACACTTTCATCCTCTTTCATTTGCTGTCTGTAAAATTGCCAGCAGGTTCTGCCATGGGAATCTTCATTCTGGAATGTGATGTAAACTAAGGAGGCTAGATCTTCTCCCGTCCTGACTCTAAATAGAGTAAGTTTATGGTGCTGACACATTCACACTTCTGGTGAGTCAGAACGGAGTAGGGGTTGTTTGGAGCAAGGCCCATCCTTTGTGGTTTCCTGCTGGTGACAGTCTGCAGAGAGACAGGCTCCCTCGACTGGGGACAGTGTACAAGAGAGACTGTGCTTCAGTTGGCTTTGCATTTGACTTTCCCGTATAGTAGCCCAGCTTCGATTAGATGATTCAACGTGGGTTTTCCGGATTGTTGTGAGCCTGTTGTAGCTACTTCTTTTATATTTTTCTTTACAGAGTAAAATTTTATTGTGCAAAATTCACTGATACGAAGCTGAGAAGTATAAAAGCCACACAATTCTAGATCTAACTTTCCTCGTTTCCAGAAATCTATTTCTTGACATTCTTAGTTTTCTTTTAGGTAAATTGCTTGCTTTATTCCTTGGTTTTGTGCATGCTTGCTTTCTTTCCTGTTTGCAGTTCGAGTTTGTGTAGGAGGTAAATTATTTTCAGAGATCGTGTTGGTTTGGGATGGTTGTATCATTGCAGAAAGCATCTTGTAGTATTTATAAAAGAAGCCTGGAGCAGAGCTCACTGTTAAAGCTGCAATAGTTCCTGGTTGGCTGAATTTTCCTCTCCTTTGATGTACCCCTGTCCATCAGTGATGCCGGGCCAGGGCTTTCCTGTCCCTATACAGACAGGGATGCTCTGAGGAGAAAATGGCTCTCAAAGTAGGATTCCTGAACCAGGGGCACCAGCATCGCTTGGGAATTTGCTAGACACACCGATTCAAGAGCCCTAGCACAGACCACCAGAGTCAGACTCTGGGGTGGGGTGGACAGACCGACTTTAACAAGCCCTCCAGGCGATTTCAGTGCTGCTCAGAGTCCAAAATCCCTGCTGACATGTCAGCATAGAGTTGCCTCTGCCTTTGCAGAGAAATAATTTTAGATCTTTCTTCTGGAGTTTTTAAGTCTTGCTAGGGTTAAAGGTAAATATTAGCCCCAAAGTAGCTTATATTCTCCTAGGGGCTCTAAGCTTTTGCCTTCACTGCTTCTCTTAGCTGATGGAAATTTAATAAACTTTTCCAGAATTGTATGGAAACTTACCTTTTATGTATTCCTAGGAAAAAAGTGGCTTCTTTTAACATATTCTTAGGTTGAGAAGTTGTTTTATTATAGAGAAATAAGAAATGTGTTCTTTGTGTCTAAAGTTTATTCACTTATTTTGAGAGAGAGAGGATAGGAGGAGTAAAGATAGACCGAGAGAGAGAGAATCCCAAGAAGGCTCCATGCTGTCGGCATAAAGCCTGATGCAGGGCTCGAACACATGAACTGTAAGATCATGACCTGATTCGAAACCAAGAGTTGGACGCTCAACAGACTGAGCCACCCAGGCACCCCAAGAAATGTGTTCTTAAGAGACTTAAAAACTGTAGATACTAGGGATGCCTGGGTGGCTCAGTCGGTTAAGCATCCGACTTCAGCTTAGGTCATGATCTCATGGTTTGTGGGTTTGAGCCCCGCATTGGGCTCTGTGCTGACTGCCAGCTCAGAGCCTGGAGCCTGCTTCAGATTCTGTGTCTCCTCTCTCTGACCCTCCCCTGCTCATGCTGTCTCTATCTCTCTCTCAAAAATAAATAAAATATTAAAAAAAAACCTGTAGATAGTATTTTCCAGTACCTCATTAAAAGAGGCAACAAAATGGCATAACTTTGGTCACATAAAACTTAAAACTGTCATCAATGAAGATTTTTTTTTCCATCAGTGAAGGTTCTTGAAGCCCATCCCTGCTACAAGCATAGACTTAGCAAATCACATATGCACCTCAATTAGAAGTTCGGAAGCATGTGGCTGTGAAATGACATATTTGCGCTGTATCTGGAGTGGTGTAATTAAAAGCGCTAACTAACAGTTTCATTCTGCAGGTCCAATCTGACTGTAAAGTGTGATGTTTACATAGAGACTCCTGAGAAGGGAGGCGTGTTCATTGCCGGAAGAGTAAATAAAGGTGGTATCTTGATTAGAAGTGCCAGAGGAGTTTTCTTTTGGATTTTTGCAAATGGAACCTACAGAGTTACAGGTGACCTAGGTGAGTGGCTTCTGTATGTGGCGCATGGCTCACTCTGAGATCTGCTGTGAACTTGTTACTCACTGTGTAATGAGAGAGCTGTACCTCTGGGTGCTTGGACGTCTAATGGGGAAGAGATGCAACACATGTGAGTTGATACCAAACGATTCAAAATCATAGAGTTAGAGAGGCAGCTGTGTAGAAGAAGATTGCGTAGAGCTCTTTCAGGTGGAGCTGAGCTAGGCTGTCCAGATAGGACTTTGCATAGCCTGGGGTGAAGTGGATGTAGTGGCTGAGAGAATGCTCAGGAAACACCATAAGGAAAAAGCAAGACTGTAAGAATGTGCTGGTATGCTAATGGAACTAGAAGGAAAGGGGTTGGTCTGCCTAAAATGGAGATATCCTGTGGGCGCCTGGGTGGCTCAGTCAGTGAAGTGTCTGACTCTTGATTTCCGCTGAGGTCAGGATCTCAAGGTTTGTGAGTTTGAGCCCCACATTGGGCTCTGCCCTGATGGTAGGGAGCCTGGTTGAGATTCTCTTTCTTTGTCTCTCTCTTTTCCTCCCCTACTCATGCTTTTTCTTTATCTCTCTCTCAAAACTAAATAAACATTTTTAAAAAATGGAGATATCCTGTTTCCCGATTTAGTTAATAATTTGACATTTTTCATTCATTTTAACAGCCCTTGTCTTATGTAGAATAGTGTCTTATCCAGGAGAGGTTCATACTGAATTCTGTGTAATTCACTGTGGTGTTGCTGCCCCCTGCTCTGTTGAAACAGACTGTATAGGTGCTACCTCTTCTGGACCATCAATCCCTGACTCCCCTGCATTAGTAAAAAAGTCTTCTCTCCTGTAGTTTCCTACTCTTTGCCTCTTGCTAAGATGGAAAGGGCTCCACAAATAACAAAGAAAGTAAGGACGCCGGAGTAGGAATTGCAGAATCATAGCATGACCCATTTAGAACATTCCTCACTGATTTTCCAGTATAAACCAGAGAGGTTAATCGATTTGCCCAAAGCCTCAAAATGAACTGGTGGCAGAATTAGAACTAATGATTTAAATCTGCATCTTTAGTCCCCACTGTTCTTGTGTTTTAAACTGCCCACTCAGCATCTCATCCTGCTCTCTCTCAGCCATTCAGATAGACTATATCCCCAAAGTAACTCACTGTTTTCTCTCTCTAATTCTCAATTCACTCTCTATCTGTGTAAGTTACACTAGCTGGAAATCTTACAGTGACCCTTGACTACCACTCCTTATTCTTTTTTTTTTTTTTTTTTTTTTTTTTTTTTTTTTTTTTTTTTTTAAATTTTTATTTATTTCTAGGAGAGAGAGAGAGAGAGAGACAGCACGAGCAGGGGAGGGTCAGAGAGAGAGGGAGTCACAGACTCTGAAACAGGCTCCAGACTCTGAGCTGGCAGTCAGCACAGAGCCCGACGCGGGGCTCGAACCCACGAACCGCGAGATCATGACCTAAGCGAAAGTCGGACGCCTAACCGACTAAGCCACCCAGGCGCCCCAACCACTCCTTATTCTTTATATCCAATCCGATCAAGTATAAATCTACACCTGAGCCGTAGAAGCCAACACATTATACTCTGGATGGTTTGTAAATTTATTTCACCAGTTCTCCCGTGAGCTCACATATGACATATGTCTCAGAGTTGGTACGTGCTTGTGGAACAGACGTCTGAATGAGGGACATTTTGTTTTAAATCAGTTGTAGATCTGAAATTGTGGATCTTTGTTACGGCTCACTTTACTACATAAAAATGCCTCCTGAGAATCCCCATGGAGCTATGTGATTCTGTGATATAGATTTTAAAAATATATCAATTAGGATAATCTTTGTGTGTTGCAGCTGGATGGATCATATATGCTTTAGGACATGTTGACGTTACAGCGAAAAGATGGTATACACTCACATTAATTATTAAGGTAAGTATTGGCTGATCAGAATACCTGGAGGTAAAATACTCTTTTCTTGTGCTTCTCTAGCATTTTCCATCATCAAATGAGAGGGGGAAAGTATGATAAATACAGTGAGGGAAGTAGGCAGAGAATCTGTGGGAGACAGCAAACCAGTAGACTCAAGGGTGAGAGTGAATGTTAGGGTAAACCCATATGAGAACCATCAGCTACTGATTTTATCACCCCACCATGTTTTAAAAATTTGGTTTTTGTTTTTTCAACTCAGGAGTAATTGGTAAATAGTCAATAATTGGATTATTTTTTTCCAAGTTTGCCTGAACCAAGATTATAATTGGAGTTTAGAGGTATAAGCAGAGTCTCCTAAGCTAATTTTTGGTGGTTGAGGATAATTTGGTTTTCAGCGAGAAGCATAATATTTTAGAAGTTGGTTTCCATGAGTATGTTTTTGTCATAGAAGATACCAGATGAATCGTAGGATAAGAATGTCTAAAAATATTTGTCAGAATTGCTGGGTGCTGATGAGTTATTGACGGACACGCATTCAAGGGATGTGTCGAAAATTCTTCTGTGTAATATACGACCTCTCTCTGCCGTTAGTTGTCATAATTTGATTTAGGTTACAACAGCAGTTAAATACAGAATCCAGATAACTTTTTGAAATTGTTCTCATCTCTTGCCCAACCACCAAAACTGATATAATACAAATTTTCTAGGCAGTAACAGTAGGTTTTGAACATCTGGTTTGTGTGTGACATAATTTATTGAACTCGGCCACACTCGATGGGCACAACTTTGTTCCCCGTTATATCCTTTTCTGGTAAGTGGAGGCAGTGTGGGCTGGCTTTCCTTGCAGGTAGAGGAGAGAGGGGTCTTCTATGTGCCTCCCAGGGTGCACACGTGCTGGTGTTTGTTCAGGCGGATGTTTAGAAATGGAACTTCAGTTACAGTCTAAACAGATACTGCTAGCCAAGCTGTGTCTATTTTTATAGTAGTTATAATATTTTATATTATCTACTTTTAAAGATTTTTTTCAAACTAATTGATGTGATTTATGTTTTCTGGATAATTAGGGAGTTTGCACATCTTAATATATTTATTAGCTCTTTTTTTTTTTTCTCTTCTCTGGTTACCCATTCACATTCTTTCCTCATTTTCTTACTGTATTTTCTCTTTCTGGTGGATCCAGATGAATTTATGATATATTTTGAGTAGTGGCCTATTTTCTATTACGTGTGTCACAAATATTTTCTTGTGTCTTGTGTATTTTAATTTTATATGATATGTTTCATGAGTAGAAGTTTTAAATTTTGGTGCTGTCAAATAATTCACTCTTTGTTTTCATTGCTTTTATGTTTTATTTAAGAAAGCTTGCACCTTTCTCACGGTTAGGAACATTTTTTTCCCTCTAAACTAAACAAAGTTTAGGATTTTTTTTTATGGTGGAGTCTGTAATACATCTGGAATTTATTTGTGAATCATAAGAGGAAGAGCCCAATATAATTTTTTTAAACGAATGGATAGCCATCATCATTTATTACACAGACCGTCCTTTGGCCTATGATTTGAAGGCTAACGTTTTGATGTAACAAATCATCCCATGTGCATAAGCTTCTTTCTGAACTTGTTCTTTATATTGCTGTGTCTTTTCTTATCTAGTATCACACTTTTAAAACACTTGGTTACATAGTTGACTTCCTTACTTCCTTCGGGTTCTTTCCTGACCACCTCATATAAAATAGCACCCATCTCTTATCGTGTCCCCCCACCCCCGGCTTTATTTTCTCCCAAGCTCTTCTTGCTGCCTGACATCACACAGACTCTGCTGATGGTTTATACGCTTGCTGTACTCCCTTCACTAGAAAATGGCTCCTTAGGTGACAGCTGTCCTTTACCCACTGCTGGCTCTCTGGCGCTCAGTGTGCCTGGCACGCATGGCGTCAGAGCAAGAGCCTGGTGGATTCTCAACAAATGAATGAGTGGATGCTCCATAGGGGAAGTTCCTCATTATTTCTCTTTCCAAATTATCTTTTGTAAATTAAAAAAAAAAGTATATTTATTTCTTCTATTTGAACTTTTATTTTTTTATTTTTTTTTTATAAATAGTTTATTGTCAAATTAGTTTCCACATAACACTCAGTGCTCATCCCCAAAGTGCCCTCCTCCATGCCCATCCCCCCCTCCCCCCCACATCCATCAGTCCTCAGTTTTTGTCAGCATTCAAGAGTCT